GCGAAGATCTCTGCCACCATTTATAAGGTCCGATATATCAGAATTTCTGATATACTATATTTTTTCAAAAATTGTTTTATCTACTGCTTTTATCTATCAGATAAGTTTTTTCTCATTTATTTACCAATGTTTATGAATAAATAAATAAATAATATGAATATTTAGAAATAATTTTAAAAATTATGAGAATATTTTCTACCGAGACAATATTTTGATATTTTATATTTTTTAGTTTTTGAATTTATTTTCGTTATTTTGTATACTTTTGATAATTTTTTGATAAACTATATTACGAAAGCCTAATAGTGTCAAATGAAATAAAAAATAAAAATGCAAAGGCGTTATAACGCGAATAAAGGCGTTATTACGCGAATCAAAAGGCGTAATAACGCGAATTAAAAGGGATAATAACGCCTTTATTTGCGTTATAACGCGAAACAAAAGGCGTAGTAACGCGAATAAAGGCGTAGTAACGCGAATCAAAAGGCGTAATTACGCAAATCAAAAGGCGTAGTAACGCGAATTAGGCGTAGTAACGCGAAACAAAAGGCGTAATAACGCGAATCAAAAGGCGTAGTAACGCGAATAAAGGCGTAGTAACGCGAACCAAAATGCGTAATAACGCAAATTAAAACGCATTATAATGCCAATTTTAAACCATATTTATACTTATCAAATGGCCTAGTAACGTGAGAAAGGACGAACAATATTGATCTGAATTTATTGCTCAAGATATAAACTCGTATAGAATAATATAATATACATTTACAATAACTATCATTCCATTTGCGCATTAATATTGCAAACCATTTGTAATAAACTAATGAAGACTCTTTGATATTTGTCAATATAAGGTGACTTGGAGACTTAAAGGTCCATTGGGTTATATGTCAATACAGTTACTCTGAATTCACATCATTGATTTTACACATGTCACTTTAGTAAATGAATTTCTATTTTTTCTTATATCTTATCTTATTTTATATGTGCGTCATATGTTCAATTATCTACGGATATGTCCTGTATAATTACTTAATAACCTGTAGTATCTTTTAGTTATGTGAATGTCGTTCCTAATTACGCTATATGTAAATGGCTATAGGTAACAAGATTTGGAAAAACGTAAGGTATACGTAAGTCACATTAGGGTGAAAGTATCTCTAACTATTGATAGGTATGCTTAGAGGGGTAAAAGTGTTTCTGTTAAGTTACAATTATAGGAGACATTGCCGCCTTTGTCTTTATCGAAAAGTATCTATAGTTGGGTGATAGTAACCTCTAATCTCACGAAAGCATTTCCTAATAAAAGATTTAAAAAATCAGACTGTGGCCTTAGGACGTATTCGCGTTATAACGCCTTTATTCGCGTTATTACACCTTTTGATTCGCGTTATTACGCCTTATGATTCGCATTATAACGCCTTTATTCGCGTTACTCCGCCTTTATTTGCGTTGCTACGCCTTTTTTCGCGTTATTACGTCTTTTGATTTGCGTAATTACGCCTTTTGATTCGCGTTTCGCGTTATTACGCCTTTTGATTCGCGTAATAACGCCTTTATTCGCGTTATAACGCCTTTGCATTTTTATTTTTTATTTCATTTGACACTATTAGGCTTTCGTAATTAGGCTTTCGTACTATATCGAATGTAGGCACTAAAAGTTAAAAATAAAATAGAAAGAGAAAAATGACGTTAGATTTTCTATTTAACGGTCGATATTTACATTTGAATTTCGACGTTACGTCATGTGACTTTCATCATCATGTGATGTCTTTGAAGGCAGTGATTACAATTCTGCCAAGAGAGGTAATCACTGTGAGGAGTTTGGCATTTTAGGTGTATCCAGTCTATCTTTCAAGTGATTCCTCAGAACCCGTTTGATATCCTTGAGATACAGACTGTCTGGGGAAGTAAAGTCTGTCATTTTGTCAATGATAAGCTTCACTTAATGAATGTGTTTCGTCAGTAACTATATTGCGATTTCTTCCAGAATTTCAGGCACCCATATTTGACTCGTGTAGATTGAGTTGAATTTATGAATCCACCTCGAAACAGCACTGTTGCATAAGATACTTCACGGTTGCCATAACTATTACAAATATCATTTTTATAAAAAATATTTATAGCAGATTTGTAGTTTTACTCGAGCTTTCATGTAAGCTCGTATTTCAGCACTTTTATGCCATATTTTACGTAAGGTATTTTTATACAGTGTGGAATCACTATCTCGTGCCAAGATTGTCAATACCTGGCACTGAAAATATCATATATGAGCCGCGTCACGACAAAACCAACATAGTGCGTTTGCGACCAGCATGGATCCAGACCAGCCTGCGCATCCGCGCAGTCTGATCAGGATCCATGCTGTTCGCTTACCAACTCTATTGCAAGTAAAGAAACTGATAGCGAACAGCATGGATCCTGATCAGACTGCACGGATGCGCAGGCTGGTCTGGATCCACGCTGGTCGCAAACCCACTATGTTATTTTTGTTGTGACGCGGCTCATATGTCTTCTGTTTACATGGTGCTCATTCGAGTCTGTCAGATTTCAACTGGAAATCTGATTTAAAAAATCAGCTCTTCGGTAACCTCTACGCATAAGATTTTTATGATTTGAAAAATAATACTTTATTCTAGAATAATTTAAATATTTTTTCTGCTATAGATATGTACTATCAGATCATCAGATCGTGTATCTCACACTTACCAGCGACATCCATTTATAGTTCCTTCGTAGTTTATTGCCATCTATGTCTCTAAATACCATTATCATTATTACATAGAGGATATTTGCTTGTTTATGTTTTTGGTTGTTGTTTTTTTTTCAAAGTCAAAGTCAAAAACATTTATTTCTCTCATTCCATGTACAAGCATGACATAATGAGGTGACAAAAATGAATAAAAAAACAATGAGGCTCAAATATCACCTAATTAACATATATATTATATTAACATAAAAAAACAAAGTATGTGTTTAAGATGATTTTTTATCGAGTGATCTTTCAAAACAGTATTCTCACGAGTAGGTTCTTAAACAACAAACAAATTTTTTTTTTTTATTTCATGCTTTAACACAAGTTCAAATGAAATTTTCTCAATATTTACTTGAATATAAAGATCTGTTTTCCCCACTCGTAGCCTCAATTTCAGACGAATGCAAAGGATTGAGCTTAAAAATCAACGTTAACTTGTCATGACGTTAATTATTTTATACAAAAATATAAATGACAATTTAAACAAACAATTCTAGAAGAAGAAAGGGTTACACCATGCCGAGCTTACTTCCGTTATTTTCCGTGGAAATTTAAAATGGACTATTCTTACACGATGTTAGCGATACGCGAGGAAAAATAAAATGTGTTTGATTCAGGAGGATTTTATTTGGATTTCATAACTCTACTACATCTTTCAATAAGAAAAAAACCCAACTTATTTGAGGATTGTTCAATGTATGACATATCTTCTAAACTCTGTGAAACATATTTTGAAATATTTGGAATAGTGTTTCTAGCCACACTCCACTACAAAATTGTTCATTTTTAGGTCCCCTGCCCCCTTAGAAGAGCGGAATAAAATGCCACCTAGAAGAATGCCTGTTTAGATATACGCAGTTTTTTTGAGTTTAAGGGGAAGTGTTACAGCACAAAAATTCCAGTACTACTAGTACACGTTCGGCTGGACGGGTACGATTCAGTTGATGTCGTAATGTGCCAGGAATCCGTCACAGCATTACTCAAATCATCTTAAGAGAAAAATACAAAACTTTAAAAGATAAATTTCTTTAAAATGAAATTGTTTCCTAATTTCTCAAAGTCCAAAAAAATGGATAGATTTAATAATTCAGATGTTTAATGACAGTGCAATGAAACAGCTCTGACACACAACTGGGAACAAGTTACTCTTTAGGTGGAGACCACGTGTTAACGCATGATTTAATTTTAGCCTGGTTCCACGATATTCATTTTCGGTAAACTACAGACGGTTGCACAGTCTATTATTTGTATACTGATATTAGAAATTAATGTCTTTCCATTTGAAGAAAATGTAAATAAAAATGTTTTGCAACAATGCCAGAAATTGAAAATTGTAAAGCTGATATGTGAATGTTTTTATGTACCTGTATTTTTGTTGACAACTCTCTAAAAAAATCGTGTAATTCCGCAGTAAATCATGCGTCTTATTCAATATCATATTCTAGTAAGACTCGACATCTTCGCAGCCGAATCACTGTTTGGAGTTCGGATGTGAGGAATTATATTGATATATAATGCTGCACATCAGAATGACAAACAGTGATTTTTTCAACGGTAAAATCAATGCTTGCCTCTATTCGAAGACGATGTCCAGCAACAAATAAATACAATCAGGCAAAATTGTGCAACTTATATGAAGCGAGTCGATCTGAATGCCGTTAGGGCCATCGCCTATGAATGTGTTAATCTGAAACGCGATAGTCGATAGTACGATGGTGAAAACACGAAATCACGAAACTACGATGGTGAAAACGCGATAGTACGATGATGAAAACGCGATAGTACGATGATGAAAACGCGATAGTACGATGATGAAAACACGACAGTACGATAGTGAAACCCGATAGTACGATGATGAAAACACGACAGTATGATGATGAAAACGCAATAGTACGATGGTGAAAACGCGAAAGTACGATGGTGAAAACACGACAGTACGATGATGAAAACGCGAAATCACGAAACTACGATGGTGAAAACGCGACAGTACGATGGTGAAAACACGATAGTTTATCGCGTTTTCATCATCGTAGTATCGTACTGTCGCGTTTTCATTATCGTACTTTCGCGTTTTCATCATCGTGCTTTCGCGTTTTCACCATCGTAGTTTCGTGATTTCGCGTTTTCACCATCGTACTATCGGCTATCGCGTTTCAGATCAACACATTCATAGGCAATGGCCCTAACGGCATTCCGTACCCATGGCCGGTAACTCGGCGAGCTTCGTAACTGCTCAACGGGCGTGTTTACCTCGGGACAAATATTTCGATCCGATTTGTATTATATGACAAATATTATTAGTATTGTAATTACTCAATTTTAATTCCAAAAATTAATAAAGTTTTCCAAAATAAAGTTGTTTCTTCGCAAATGAGCATTTTTATATATTGTGTATGCGTAAATTTGATTCTAGTCAAATGCTATCAATTTTAGTTTAGAAAAAAATGAATCTCAAAGAATGTTCAAAATGACAAAATTAAAAATATTGCAGGCTCAGTTTGGTTGAAAATCATTTAACCTGATCCAGACATCCTTTTGTGAATATGGAGCCACTATGTTTATTTTCCTGTTCGGAATAATTTTCATATTCTTCTGATCATCATTGTTGAAGCCTTTAGAATTCTATAGCTGTCTGATTCAGGCGCCCACCTTATTTTTGTCTTCGTCCCGTACACAATGTTTAGGTTAAGGACGTAGTCACACGTTTGAGCGGTAAACGACCACCACATTTGGTCGCCACTAAGACAAGACGTTGAAGGATCCTCAGCAAGTGCTACAAATGGAGATTCATTGAAGGTCGCGAACGTTTCCCCATAATTGTTACCTGAAAAGAGCAAATTATTTTACAGATTAAAAGACTGATTTGACATTATCGTCATATATTCAGTACATACTAACTGTCCAGATAATGAAGTATGTACGAAATATATACCACAGGTAAGAGATGATTTGGCTTTAGGCACGTCGAAACACGAGGATATCTGATTTGTACGAAGGGACATGGCCCCCCGAGAATAAATCCGATTGCCGAGTGTTTTGATGTTCTTTTCTTTTATATCACAGGCAAAAATAAAAACACGTCCCTTTTTGTCACAATATGAAACCCTAGAAAAAAACCAAGCAATGAATTTCTATCGGTACCAATCGGAACGTCCTTGGCTATTATTCCTTATAACCCCGGAGTTTATACGGTTTGAAAGTAGTTCTACCACGTGCTTTCAAATGTAATGAGAAAAAGAGAGTGTAATCTTTGACAATGTAAATCGAATGTATATATTTGACATCCAACTGAAAATAGGTCTTTTCAGTACAATTTTGATTGAAAATATGTCTGGCAATCATTTTTTAAGGCCCGGTCACACCGCACGAACTTTGCTTGAGCGCTTCTTGAACGGTAGGGAGAGGTGAAAACGAATTTCGACAACGCTCGTAACTGCACATAAAAATAGGAAACAAATCGAATACACGGGTGTTGCCTTAGCGGGTAACCGCTGACACCGGCGTTGCAAAAGCGTTGGCTTAACGGTAGCGAGCGTTGGTTTAGCGGTGACTAAGTTGGTTTAGCAGCAGACCGCTTTTGACTACGGAGCTGAACGGATCGCTTTGATCGCTCCTCATCTCCACCATCAGCTTGTCATAAAATCCATGTTTAGGCCTTCTCAGTACCCACTGTCTGAACCACACAACTCGTGCACCTTCATAACAAGTCTCTCAGCATACATTAGAGTACAATTTTATTGTAACTTTGAGCAAATTCGATGTAAATGAGCTGCACTCAACGACAGCTCGACTCCAAATGGACTCTTGGTCCATTTCTCCCCGTAATTATAGCTAAATTCTGTTCCCGCTCCAACATATCCATATCAACGCCAAACCAAAGTTCATCACCGCAATGGATCGCTGCTTCAACGCCCAACACCGTTCCAGCAATCCCGTGGCCGCTCGTAAAACGCTTATAACCGCTCTATTATTGTTTGTGCGACGTTTAATCACCGCCCGGACAAAGCTGGCGAAACAGCGGTGGTTTAGCGTTCAAGATTTCTGCGTCAACCTAGCGGCCTCAAGCGTCCCCGAACTTGCGTCTAGCGGTACCAAACTTTGACCGAGCGTTGTTGGAGAGGTGGTGAATTTTGCCGGAGCGGAAAATTTCCCGCTCCTCACCGCTAGCAATATTTTGTGCAGCTCAAAACTTTCGGAACGGAAGGAGGGACCATAAGCGGTGACCGAGTGTATACGGCGTTGCCTTAACGGAGGCCAACTTCTGGTGAATGGTAACGAGCCGTGATGAATTCTTTTCACCGCTCCAGGGTGCCTTTTTATCAACGATCATAGCTTACGCTCCAGTAAAGTTTTTACGGTGTGACCGGGCCTTAAATTTAGATATGCCCACTGATTTACAATTATAAACAAATCCGACTAAATGTTAACAGGCTTGCATTTTTTACTGTCGTTTTCTTAAGCCATATAATAATAATAAGTACATAAATAGTTAACTCATAACTTGTATATCTATCAATAATAAAAATAAACCTGTGAAAACCAATACTGAGTAGGTAATTTTCAAGATTTCGAGACCAAACATATAGCAGACAGGTAAACTGGCAAAACAATCTTGCCCATTAAAAATTGGCTCTACTTTTTCAAGTAATTTGTTAAAAATTACATCAACTTTTTTTTCTAACAAAAATCAACAATTTGTATAATTCCACGTCCAACGGTTTTTTTTTATATGTAAAAACCGGTTTGATTGCATGGCTAAAAATAGCTCTCTTGGGAAATCCGAATGACAATGTATAAAGAAGGCAAAACATCTTCAGTCGTCATCAGATCTACAACAAAAAAAAAAGAAATAAGAAGATCTGAACTTTAGTCAGATTGTTAAATAAAATTAATATTTATTATTAAATCTGCTGAAATGAACTTTGTCCAGCTTTCATTTCTGGAAACTGTCTTCTATCGTAGTGCATGGTAAGGATTAATGTTACAGTTACTTTCTTACCTGCACTGTAGAGGCGATCGTCTATGGAGAGCACGTACCGAGGGCCAACGAGTTGAAACCGACTGAATCGTTCGTTCCATGGCTGTTCACCATCATTTGAAAACGTAATTTCATATTTTAATTCACTCGGCATTTCTGTCAGTTTTTGAACGAATTTAAGTCCTGCAACAATATTTAATATTTAGAATTGCATGCATCATTTATATTAAGACAACATTCTGTAAGATCTCAGGAAGAGAAATTCTACTACATGTTATTTTACATTGGTATTTGTCATCTATATTGTACCAAAACAGTTCCAATTTATTGATATCATAAATGAATGAATAAAGGAATGAATGAATGAATTAATCAACTAATCAAGCAATCAAGCAAGCAGCAATTCAACAAATGACAGATAACATAGAGTGTAGAGTACCGAGTCATTGAATGAATAAGTGAAAGAATGAATCAATTAATCAATCAATCAATCAATCAGTCAATCTATTAATCAAGCAAGCAAACAATCAATTAATCAAGCAAGCAAGCAAACAATCAAGCAAACAACCCATTAACCAATGCCAAATAACATAGAAAGTACAGTACCGATTCACTGAATGAATGAATGAATGAATGAATGAATGAATGAATGAATGAATGAATGAATGAACGAATGAACGGACGAACGAACAAACGCACGAACGAATGAACGAACGAACAAAAACAAACAAGTAGATAAATAAAACCAAACATACCGAGCCAGAATTCGCCATTGATGTCCCCAAATCCGTTTTCATACTCTGAAAAGTTTCTTTGGAAATTAACAGAACCATCAAGTCTGTGTTGGAAAACCTTCAATACAATACCAAAAATAAATCAGAATTCACTGAGAATGATTTTTGAAGCAATATCGATTATAGCGTCTGAAATTCAATAGCGATCCAATACCGGCTTAATTTGTATAATGGATCTTCACTTCTTAAAATTGGATACAATCCAAGCTAAGTTTTATTGATTTTAATATTAAAAACAAAAACAAAAATTGAACTATGTGCTCATTGGTGGCAAGGGCTAATCATTTCCGGTTCAATTTATATAGGGGTCAACAAGTGCATCGGTGGTTACCAATATAATTTAGGGGTAAGCCACAGTTATCGTAAAACCAGGTTAAAATCATCAGAATTAAAACACTGAGGCGATAAAATCATATTATATTTTCTGACTAAAACACGTTTTTTCTTTCTTCATAAGCTTTTCAATAAAATTGAACACAATCGTGCAAAATAATTTAGAAATAATATCACTTAAATTATCAAGACGTTTGTTTGAGGTACATGTAAAATTGATGATACGGACAACACGCAATATACAGGATTGGACGCTTGAAAAAAATCATGAGCACAAAATTTACATTTTTCATTCATTCTCGTATATGATGTAAATGTGTGTAAAGGTGCATTAGATGTTTTAAAGTTCATTTCATTTGGTAAAAAATAAAAAGACAAGATTGAGAATTTAATCATTCAAACGCCTTGTCCGGTTTAAACCGGAATACGGTATTTAGTGTAGTCCCCCAGTCCTCTTTAATTTATTACAAATTTTAATAATATCAAATATGTAATAAAATCACAATTACGTGATCAGTTTTTACAAGTATGGAATAGTGATGTTTTTAATTCTGTTAAGTGTTTAAATTATAAAATATATAAAACTCAATTTAAATTAGAACATTATTTACTATGTTTACCAAGAAATTTAGCAATTACTCTGTCTCAATTCTAATATTCCTATAGAGAAAGGCCGCTACTTTGGTATTGAAAGAGAAAATGGAACGTGCTCACTTTGTAACCAGCAAGAAATAGGTGATGAATTTCACTATATTTTTAAATGTACTTATTTTACTCATGAAAGACACAGGTATATCAGTAATCATTATTCAAGGTTTCCTAGTGTTTTAAATTTTCAGGTTCTAATGTGTAGCGACAACAGAAATACTTTATTTAATCTAGCCATGTTTGTTAAAGCAATAATGCTGAAATTTCGCTAAGTCATCTTCCTTATTTACTTATTTACTTCTATGCCATGTTTGTATTATTATTTTTTGTTTTGTTTGATTGTTCACTCTTATGCCCATAAGGGCCATGAGTCTTTGTTTATAAATAAAAAAAATTAAAAAGATAAGGCATACCGTCCATCCCCCACCATTGGTTCTCATATCACAGTAAACCTGTAGAGTTTCCGTACCACCAACTGCTATCGTATAAACACCAGTGTCTGCAAACCTGTCCCTTTCTAGAATTTCTTTGCAGTCGAATAGGTGTTCTTAAAACAAAATAACTCACCTAGCAGACGGAAAGTACCAAACATATATTAAGACGTTAAAACTTAACATAAATCAAGACCAACACACCAGAAAATTTGAAATGATAATCATACACACACACGCAAGCATACAATCAGACACATACACGCACGCACGCACACACAAAAACAACCTTTTCTGGAGTCACGGTTAACGTTTATGATGTCTCATAAGTTCACAAGAAAAACTTCACATGAAAAATAACTTAAAATTTATTAAAGGGACTCCACTGAGGTTGAAAAACGTAAAAATATAGACTTTGAAATTCTTGCAGTTATCAAGTGATACACTTAGAAATGAAAAATTCTGCGACAGCTTATAAAGAAAATATTCAATATACTGAGACCTTAATTAAAAATTGATTTTTTTTGGCGATTTATTCCCGGTTATTAATATTTTTGTGGAAAAAAAACAGTGTGAGGGAATTACCTGAAATTTTGCACACGTCTAGTTTTAAGCTCGGACCTACATCAAATGGTACAAATTAAATTTCCCGAAAAATTATTTTTCAGTCTTTACAACCGGCACAGTACTTAATACTACTTACTTTTAACCACTAAGTATATTTGAATATTTTGTTCTCCGGACTTAGTTTAAGGGGATTCGCAGAGGTTTTGACATGAATGAAAGGGATTTCCTTTTCTTTTTTATGATTAAAATATGTGCATTCATTTCTTATTGTAAAATTTGACTTAAACTTTATAGAAAATAAATGTTTTATTACCTTTATTTACTTGAAATGTTAAATTCGGTAATATATTTATAAATAATGCTTTTTGGAACATAGAAAATTGATTAATCTTAATTTGAGCATCATATTTATGATTTAAAACCATAAAAAATTGTGTTTCTTCAAAGTTATACGATACATTGTTTTTCAACTTTCCAATAAGATAAATTGTCAGTGTTAACAATTTTCATTCAGTATTTTGTTATTCTTAAAAATCTATTTACATACAATGGGAACCTTCCCATTTCACCATTTACATATGCATTGCATGTATTCGTTATCACTTTTAATTAATAATCTTTTTAAAAAAAATAAATTTAATTCTTTCAATTTGTTTCCCCAAACTTCACATGAAAAGCCCAAAAAAGAAAGAAGAAAGCATTAAATAATTGACGCAATAGTTTTGGACTTAGATCATATTTATTACATTTACATTTATAGCCTTAAACGCCTAACCTAAATGTTGCTGATTAAAGCTACCAGTGTAGTTAAAACAGTTCCACGGTAGTTAAAGTAATTCGAGAAGTTGAGATTTGTAAGTTATTGCAACTGCCAACGGCCAATGTTGATACCAGACCATTAAAAAATAAGCTTGAGCAACCGAAGTGCCTAATCTAAAAGGCCAATTATGCCCCATAAATGCTTTTACTTTAATTTCTCAATATTTTTTTATTTTCAATAGTTTCAAAAAGATACTCATTGGCCAAATACCTAATCCATCTTTTTTTCTGATTCGCTTTGACAATTAGTACAATAATAGTGATTTTGTATTTTGTATGGAAGTCAAAAAACTACTTAGTTTACACTTTGTTACTTTTGTGACAAATTATTTAACATTTAGTGCTACTTTTTGTTTAGGTAACAAGCATCAAACATCCTCAAATACCGTTATTTAAATATTATAAAACTAATATTTGCCCTTTCTAAGAAAGTAAAAATTTATCAGTTTTTGAGGCATATAATGTGCCTTTACATAGTTCAAAATTCACGAACCTCTTTTTGCAAATTTTAGCAATCCCGCTGAGTTTACCATTGGTAACGATTTCAAAAACTCCCGACAGCCAGTGCATTTATGATCATCCACTTGATACGTAACGGCTTTACATTCCTTGTCCTCATTACAAAGTCTACCGCATGTTACTGCAGCAGCAACCGTGTCCTTCATAAACCGAACATCTTCCGCTGGGCATATGTCTTCAACGAATTGTCCTTCAGCTTGAAGTTTTACCCAATTTATGGCCGTAGATGTTGATACCATGCCAATTTCAATCACAAAAATGCTGGTAAATAACAGAAGAACCATTGTATAAAGGTCTGTCGTTGAGAACATTTTCGCTTTCGAGGACGGTAAGAAATGCGTCTAAAGAAAAGCAATATTTATTGTGAAAAGGCGGGTCTTTTTCAAAATTGCATGAGTATAAAAAAAGTAAACAAGCTAGCATAACAATATCAATATCAGGTTAAAGGCACATCAATGACTGTTAATGCATTTAAGTCATATATTTTATTCCATAGTTTAACAGTATCACATATCGTTAATAGGACGCAAAGCAAGCATTCCACGTGTGACGTTGAATAATTGAAACTTTTCAGGTCCGAGAATTCGAAACATTTTCTCATGTTACATATATGAAAGTGATTCTATAATAACTTGAACTCTTACAAAAATTCATCCCATTTGAAACACGGTGGAATCAGACTTTATTTCACTTATACTAATACTATATATTACTGTGTTGAATGTGTGTATGATGAAATTTTATTTCATCGAGTGGGCTTTAAAAACAGTATTCTCACGAGTGGCGTAGCCACGAGTGAGAATACTGTTTTTAAAGTTCACGAGATGAAATAAAATTACATCTTACACAACAAACAAACAAATTTTCTTTTTATTTTATGCTAAAAAACAAGTTAAAACGAAATTTCCATAATATTAACGTAAATATTAAAATCTGTTTTCCCCATTGAGAGCCCCATTTAGTCGGAATTTCTCATTAAAAACAAGAAGTCTTGAGCTGAAAAATAAGTCCGACAATCAACGTTAAATGACAGTGATATTATTTATTTTGTTCAAAAAATATGAATGATCGCTTGTTTTAATAATAAAAACAAACAATTCTTGTAGGAGAAAATTCCAACCATCCATCCATATTTCTGTTACTTACTGCGAATTTATATTAGACCTGGCTTTGTTAAATGTAAGCGGCAGCCATTTTTTAAAGTTGTGTATTTCACGGGAGGAAAATAATTGTGTTTGATTCAGAGGGATATCATTTGGATTTATTAGTCATACACCTTTTAAAAAGAAAGAAAACATATTTGAGGATTGAAACAGACATAATGGATGGATGGTTGGAATTTTGCCTGCTTTTTAAATTTGTGTTTTGACGTCTTATCTGTGATACGCAGGCTTCATAACCTCTGATCCCCTTTCAAAATTCCATTTTATTTAGTTCCGCCCATTGTTTTCTCGTTTAGGGCACACGCTTTTTATTACTTTGGGACCATACGCCGCTTTTCATGGAATGGCACGGAAGTGTCACATTGAAGGTTCCATGTTAACCGCCGTATGAACACATCTGCGGATGTTTTTAAATTCAAAATTTTACTATTTCACGTTTAAATGTTGAATTCTGCTTAAGCCGGTGCTAGGGGGCGTGGACGGTAACTTGCACTTTCCAGTACCGTCCATGAACAGGCTCAATCAAACCGGGCCTGCAACATTTTCAATTTTGCCGTGTTGGGCTTTCTTTAGGGATTCTGTATTTATCTATTTTATGATCACATCCGTGTTATTTGTGCCGTGTGGCGGCTGTAAAAAGTCTCCCCGTACATTTAACCAATGATGTTATATTTTCGATCCTTGAAGATCGTTCA